TCCTCCTCCTCCTCCTCCTCCTCCTCCTCCTCCTCCTCCTCCTCCTCCTCCTCCTCCTCCTCCTCCTCCTCCTCCTCCTCCTCCTCCTCCTCCTCCTCCTCCTCCTCCTCCTCCTCCTCCTCCTCCTCCTCCTCCTCCTCCTCCTCCTCCTCCTCCTCCTCCTCCTCCTCCTCCTCCTCCTCTTCAGGGTGTTTCGAGACTCGTGTCCAAATTTAAAAGGAGGAAGATGTCAAGAGAAACGTTGACGGCACCATTCGGCATTCGGCCCGAGGGTTTACGATACACTGCCTACACAAAGTGCCTACACAACCTTCTTACAAATGTGCTCTTTAAGGTTTTGTGGCAAGGGGAGGAAATATGTTTTGCCATCATGTGTAGTGAAACGAATCAGAAATTTCTACCCATCCCCGACCGGAAAATACAGAGACTTCTTACCGGGAACAATTAACTCGCGGATTTAGTGCGTTTTAATGGATGTTTTATGGTTTTAAAGTCTGTTTTTTGTCAAATACCGATGTAAAACTTTCTCATACAATTGTTCAATAATAATTTAACGATCCAAACGTTACAAAAATGAAATATTGAGCATTCTAACGAACGGAAAAAAGAAGGCAAACAACACATAACCACTGTACTGAGAGGGAACAACATTCCAAACTAGGAACGTTCTGCGTGCAGCGATAAATTTAGTGCGTGTGATATCTCCATTTATGTGGAAGCTAGAAATTCCGTTCTTTGATCATATTAGAGTATGCGAGGCCTAGGTTAACGTAAGTGGCATCACAAAATCTTTGCCAAAAGTGAAAAACTCATTTACGTCATCCTTTAATTGCATCATGTAATAGAATTGAGCATAAAAAGATTAAAAGATAATATTTATAAATGTTTTTTAACGCTCCTTATCAAATGCTCAATATCCAGTTCTAAGATGTTTGTAGTAATGTAGGAAATGTACAACGTACGTAGGTACTTTATAGCAAAAGTATAACTTGGAACTTGTACGGAACCACGCTTTAAGTTTCATAATGCAGGAACCTTATCCAAAAATATCATAGTCACCGGGATAAAATGTGAACGTGTAAAACTATCTGCAGGTTTTAACAGTGGTAATTACTAATTACTAAAATTAAATTACAAAAATTAGTATAATGAAATGTGCAGTGTGTCTTCCACTCACGGTAAGTATTAAAGACGTCACGTTGTAACTCAGTGCCCCCTAACTTCAGCAGCTCCCTTGTCTGTGAGGGCTGCTTCTCCCTCAGCATCTCCACACACGAGGTAACACTTCCGTCAGCTTTAACTCTCGCTATATTCCCACACCTGGCAGATCAGAGGTAGCCAAATAATATGTTGGAATATATAAAGTATTATATAACTTTGAGTTGCAATTATAATCATCAGATTGGCAGCAAAGTATTCATATTTTTCCTCTCTCTCTCTACCCAGAACAAATGATTATTTCACTAACCAGAGAGCTATTTTCCCGTTTAGTTCCCGATCAACAGAGAAGTGTTTGGCTACTTTGATCTCCTCAGCATGGTCCACTTTACCACTCCAGTCTTCCTCACTTGGACCTGAGTTATGAGAGGTTATGATCAGTTAGTTTAAACCAGTTAGATTAAATCAGGAACTAATGGCTCTAGTTTAAATACTTTCAACACTACTATATAATATAACAAATAATTTGAGATCATGAATTAGATAATTAGCAGACTAGTATTAACTAACCTTGTTCACTAACATCACCCTTGTCAGATAGAGTGTCCAGACTGCGTTCCAGAGAAGGTACAGAGTTATCCTCAGCATCAAGACACACAGCGTCCAACAATCTGTTATCAAGCTCATGGATTATCAGGGACTCAGTCACTATCGTGTTCCTTATTACTGTACTATCTACACTGTCTGTAATATTGTAATTTACAGGGATGTGAAAATGTGTGTTCTTGATAGATTGTCCAACTGTCCTGTTTTTCATGACTAATAATGTATGATAAAATGAGGCAAAGTAAGGTAAGATGGCTGCTGTGTTTACAATTTACATGCCCATTATCATGTTGAAGTAACAATATACAAGTTTTAGAGAGGTGTACTTTAAATGATGAAATGGTGAAAACATGATTTACCATCAAGTTTGAGGCTGGATTGAAGGGAGTTCGGGGCAGAGGGGAGTGTTCCCCAACAGTTGATATCCTGAACACTGATAGTCTCATCAGGAGTACCTAAAGGTTCACGTCTACTCTCCATCACTCTGTCTCACCTTCACTGTGCATTACACTGAGCCAAGTCAGACATTACTTGACCTAGGTTATATACATGACCTAGGATGGATATTTAATAGGTCGTAGGGTTAACGAGAATTTTTATAAGATGTTAAGTCTTATGTAATATGTATGCTTCATCCAGCAATTTGAAATCAAGTCCGAAAAGAGAACAAGACTTTTCAGCAGTTGTCAAGAATTATGGGGGATTCAGAGATGCAAATTTCACAGAGGAATTCTACTGTAGAAATGAAGCAAACCTGATCGCTTTAAAAGCAACAATATTTCCGTCTTACTAAATTTTCGTTTTTCACTAAAACAGAGAAATCTACTCATCAGTGTGGAAAATGGCATTTTGAAATAACGCTTACGAGATCCCTCATTCGGTCTTCCATTCAATCGATCGATGATAACGCCGCACATGTGGTTTAAAATCTAGGTCATGCCCGCCCCGTTCAACCTACAGCCGAAATAGCTCAGTTGGGAGAGCGTTAGACTGAAGTTCTAAATGTCCCTGGTTCGATCCCGGGTTTCGGCAAGCTTTTGTCCAAAAATATATTGGTTTTGTTGACCAGGACGATATAATTAATGATTATACCACTCACAACTGATTGACTGGCTGATATTCAGAATTAACAAAATGCTGCTCAAAGTGAACAAATTGCAGTTCATTTCATAAAATTACTTAAAATGAGTAAAAGAGATCTGAGATCTCCATTCAGTTCACTCTTGGTGACATGTTACCACTTCGGAATATTTTCCTGTTTAAAGAGGTGACGATGAACTGCATTTGTGCACAACTCCTGATGGCTTAGTTCATTCCATCACTGAGGTAAACGACTTTGAAAAGATCGTGAAACGTTCATTCCGAAAGAATTTCACATTCATTCTTAAATGGAGAATGGAGGATCCGACAACCCGTATATCAATAACAAAATAAATCCGTAAACTAACTGATGATTAAAAGTAACCTAGTCCAAGGCGGGATCTGAAACAAATCTTTAATGAATAAGGAAATGAAAATACTTTAGCGTTGAGCGATAGCGCTCGATTCACGCGCGCTCGATTATTTCTGGCATAAAAATTGCGCGGCGTAAAATACACGAAATTACAAATAGGAATGGGAAATGAAATTGTCGATTTCATTTTTAATCCTATCCGTCCTACAACATTTTTGTTTTAAGAATATAATAAAAAAATTTCTGTACGAAAAGTAATATTCCAGTCTAATATGTAGCAAATTTTTAATATACTGTTGTGCAAGTTGTAAAAGTAATATTGTATTAAATAAATAAATTGTCAAGACCCTATACAAAGTTGCTACAATAATTTTATTCCGCGTCACTAGTTCATTCAAAATTTAAATAAACAATATCTATATCAGTTTGCTATGCATAGCTTATGCTAATTGCTATCAAGACATAAATATGTCCTATCATACACAATTATGTTTTATATTGAATGACATCCATGATCGGATTACATAAAAATAGTTAAATACAAGACTTTCAAATGGTTTCATACATTCTAGAGTGTTGGATTTTATAAATAAAGATCTTGATGCACGAAATAGTGAAGTAAAGATTTCAAAAGTATATGAAGTGCACTATCGATGATTGATAATACATTAAAATAAACGTAACTAATATATATATATATATATATATATAATGTAATGTCCTCATATATGATATATGTCGACGAAACTTCCATGCGCGCCGCGCATTCAAATTCTGACCCTTCGATCAAACGAGCTATTCAGATTTACTCCGCAAACCAAAAGCACGCGCTAGTCTTAAATAGTCCTAACTAATTACGCCAACCAATTGCCAGGGTTGCTTGAACGATAAGGTTGTTTGACATCTCATGGTTTTTTCCCAATCAACTCTGATCCGCTCTTCCAAAACGTCTCCTATTACGGGTTATGAAAAGTTCCAGAAAGGTATATTCGACGTGTCTGAGTTGAAGTCTACCTTTTATATGCATTCTCCTGACAAGTCTTCTCCAGAGAAATCGGAAAGATCGTCACCAAGCTACAGCAACGGAAACACTCTAAAACACAGCAGCGAAAGCAAAAGCAGCTCAACCCAGCCGCCCAAAGTAGAGAGCAAGTCCCCGAGTTCGACCTCTACTTCTGTCGAGAACGGTTCACCCCGAAGCTCCTCCAACCCGCTCCAGAACTTCGTACCTAGATTTGCATTCGGCGGCGAGGAAGTCTCTGATTTTTCACCGGTTTCTTCATTTCCAGAATTCAACCTTCCCTCAGGTTTGACACTGTCATAAGTTTTCTCTTGTTTTAATAGCACTTGTTCTGGTAATTCAGAATACGTGTTTTGGTAGCACTTGTTTCCAGTTCTGGGGTGTTTGTCGCACTTTATTAACCACCGTATCACGTAAGAGATATTTCAAACCCTCTATATCAGTGCCCATACTTTACAATATTCTATCCCAACTTAAACGTATGTTTCAAAATGTGTCGTGTTACGTAGGAAACCAAATATAAGTAGAGCGACGGCTGGGAGCGTTTAAATAACCCCTCAATATCATTAAGCAGCAACCTGCAACAATTATGTTTGCTGAATCTATAGCTTCCTTGTAGACAACTGGTTTACTGGCCTGCATATATCGCCTGTTTGGGATATTCCTCCTTTTAGCTCGCATTCTCAATGATTTATTGGCTCAGTTCATAGAATTAGAAAACCTCTTTTTATTATGTTTCGACTCAAAGTTATTATCAGATAGTTTTCAATAATATTACCTATTTCTAATTTTGAGAGTGTTTCCGGTTCCCGTCGTTTTTCAAAGAATACGAATATAAGTGGCCTATTTTACTAGTTATCGTTTAGTTTAACATTTTGCTCAACATCGAAAACATCTTTAAAGTGAAGTTATCACGGGATTCTCAATCTTCCAAACTTTCAAGCTTTCTATTGATAAATTTAATTTAAGGCAATATTTGAGGGCAAACTATAGCTTATTCCCACTAAATGAGTATGTCACGTAAGCAATATTTTATAACTTTCTCCCCAAGTACCAAGTTAAATTAACAGTTGGTTTGCACTGGTAAGTGCACTGAACTTCTTTGACTTTCTCTGCGATCTGATTATTATTTCCCAATTTTGAAGTAGCCTTTTCATTTGTGTTTTTCAACATTGCAACTTTTTAGCTGTTTTATATTTACCATCCCAATCCGGTATAATCGTACACTGTTTTCAGCTTCTCAACTAAAATCACGCTACTATGGCATCTGTCCCCACATCGCTAGCACTTTCTGTTCGAAGATTTCAAATTCTCTTTGTTTTTGTCCCAGATTTCGTTGATTCTTTTATTATACCGGCTATTGTTAAAGTTAGTCACGTGTCATAGATTTTACGATTTTACGAGCATCACCATGACAACCATTCTTCACATCCTTTGTTGAAAATCGTGAAATGTCTGCCAAAATCGAGCTCTAAAATTTTCAGTGAGATTGTTTTATTACCGAAAACTTTAGATTTATAGTTAGCCCCTTTCAAGTCTCACTCTATCTATTTCAGTCTTTGTCTATCTTGCTCAACCCAAAAATTTCTCTGATTTTTCGAACAGGTTAAAATCAATTTGACATTTAAAAAATCCGAAATCCAGTTTTTACATTCGCCAGTAGTGATTGCTTTGTATGCGACAGGAAACATCGCTGGATCTGCACACGGCTGTCTACCGTTACCATGACAACTATAATACTAGACCCTCATCATGTTGTCTTATCTATCAGACTGTTAAAGTCTGATGACAACTATAATATTTGATAGATTCAGGGCAAAAAGCCAGCGTTATCAGCCCCCAATGGTGGTTAACTTCCCCGGGTGCATGCTGTTTAAAATTTGAAGTCCTAGTAGTAGCTGCCTGACAATGATTTTAGTGGTAAGAGAATAGTTGCTATCTGTAGCTGTTCCGTCCGTTATCTGTAGCAGCTGAAAGGACAGTCGTTATTCAGGGTACTCATGTCAGATAAGAGCAGTTACCATGGCAACTAGACTATTATACATGTCAGATAAGCGCGGCCCCTTCTATTCATAGTTCCTATTTAATAGACAGTGCACCCGTACTATATACTAGTATATATATATCTCCCCTCAGTCTAGTTACCGTGACAACCCATACACCCTTGACATAGGTAATTATCCTTCTGACTGCCTCAATTGCTCCACCGGGACGCTCTCGCTCTTATTCAAGAAGCCTCCCAAATGCCGCCATGCCAAGGGGGTATTAATTCGAAAATCACAGCAGTTACAATTATCAATTGACTCGCAATTAGCGGCCATTAGCGCCTGGTGAGTAGGGCGCTGTTGGGAGGTTTACTCCCAGTTTACTAGCTCCTCAACAAATCATCTTATCTTAGTGTTACATCTCGCTGCGTTTGTTATCTGCCTTTGTATCTCTTCTTAAGAGCTGTTTTCTCAGCTCGCTGGTTTTCCGGCCTTGTCGAGGTTTGGATTTCGGTTCGGTTCGTTTCGTTGGGTTTTCATTCGAGGCGTTTGGACGGTAGTAGCTTGGTAGTCTAGTTGTCATGGTAACTGTAGACTTGTTCGATAGACCGTACAAATAGTTGCAATTAGTTCACAAAGAGAAGGGTCTAGACGCCACAAGTACTCGAGCTCACTCAACTGTGAAGGACGCGTTGTCATGGCAACAACTAATTGGTGCCTTTTGTTTTAGTTGCCCGGTTTCTGTAGTACTGCTGCTTTTCAGAAAACTTACTACTGATTCCCCCTCTAGACCTGATAGCCTTGTCAAATCTGGACTGAGCACTTTACCATTCCAGTGCACTTAGCACGCGTTACTCGCCATTACTCGCCACTGCTACTCTCGCACTTCTAGTTGTGGTTTTCTAACTCGCTCTAAGACCTGACTTTATCTATACCTTTATTCGACACTACTACCTTTTACTTATAAGATGTGGTGCCCTGATCAATACTATTGTTTGGGCTGAATTTTGGATTTGTATTTCAATTTATCTAAATTATTTTTCATGCTCAATTTCATATCCTACTCAAAATTATTTGATTTGTGGTATTCCAAATTCCACCCTCCAGTCCAGGGTTTAAAATTGGTTTAAATTCTAAATGCAAACATTCAAAAAGAATCTGTTTAGTTCACATTTTGCATCTTTTAGTTTTAGGAAGAATCGGCTGATCCAAAATTTACCATTTCCTTTAAAAACATGTTCCAAAGAAATCTTCAGAACAAGAATGTGCTGTGTGTTTTTAAAAGATATTTTGCCAATGAGCAGTCCATTAAGCCTCTATTACGTGATACCCTTTTAACTTTAAAAACCTCCACACTCTGGTCTCTGTTTGTGTGCGGCTATAAGTACCTCTTGAAGGGGTCTTTGTCAATGAGTAATGTGTTTTTTCACCGTAAACTGTAGACATATTATGATAGATCGATCTAACTCCACTTTTTAAAGCTTGTCATTTTATTTTACTTGTGTTTTTACTCGTGTGAGTTTGGCAGTATATTTATTTTTCTCAGTTGAAAACTTTTCCTGAAGTTAGAGAGAAAGTTGGCGAGGTATAAAACCAGGCAGTGATTAATCAGTTAGTAATAAAGTCATTGTTCTGGTTATACCACTCTTTTCACCCTCTGGGTCAATCCGCACCAAATAACCGCTATTCTAAAGAAACAAACTTATTACTGCCGCAATATCTGCTCTGTTTCCATGGTTACAGCTGAAATTGTGGCAGTGTTTGGTCTAAACCATTGACACTAGCCGTTCAGTAACTTTCCCTGCCATTCGAAAACAGCACACGACACTACCACGTGACACTGTTTCCTGGCTTGTTATTGGTTGAAAGGGATGAGCAACACCCCATAATAGATGATGTGTCTAGACCCACCAACACTCTTGTAGGACTTCACTAAGTTGGAATATTGATTTGGGAAGGGAGCGTGTTGTTCCTCTTATTATAGAGCTGATCATCTCTTTATTCCATTATCTCCTCCTTCTCTTCCTTAGTCTCTTCATTATCAGCTCCTCTGTGTTTAAATACGTGTTAATAGACAAATACTAATAGTTTTATCTGACATTTTTATGAACATAGATAATTTGGGCATTTTAAAAAGAGTAGTTTAAAAGTGTTTAAATCATTTCAATCAACAGCTATCGGTTTCACGGACACATGGATGAAGTCTTATATACATTTGTGGTTACATGAATAATATCTAACATGTTACCATGGTTACAGGGGATGATCTAGATACGATATCGATAGTAAATTCTCTGAAGCAGAGGATGAAATACGAAGGATTGTCTCAGACGAAAGTAGCGAGATCTCTTGGTAAAGGACAAGCGACAGTTTCCCAGATTTTAAACGTGAGTTCCCATCTCTTTACATAGTAGCCTGTTGGAATTGGCCCCTGAGATGGATAAATAGTAATATCAGTTCCATTCAGTGAAATCAGAGGCCGATTTGATCAGACAAACCTTTATTATATAAATATTTAATCTCTGTCTATTTCAACTTTAATTATGATTAACTGCTTAACAGCTTCTTAGATTTGTGTATTATTTACCGATATTTGGGTAACTTAGATTTACTTAAACTTAAATTTACAACATTTACTATCAACTGCGGCTTACCATTTAACCACAAATAATGGTACAAGTATGCAGCACTATTTATAACTAATAATTTAGGTTAGCATAGATTACAATTGCGGTATTATTATTTATTAAATGTGAGGTATGTGGCGTGGTATCCATCTGTTTAAGAAATATTCCTGTCACCTAACAACCAGACCCCTGAAATCGTGAATAAAACTCCGGTAAAATGAAAATTGCATATGGTTTATGCATACTTCTCTCGGCGACCCGACATGCTTGCATAAATTAGAATAATTCATTGGAGCGTATAATTCAGCGTATGAATTGACGTTAGCTAGCTAGCGGGTGGGTCACGTGACCGGCGTTATAACACCCCCCTTACAATAATAGCATGTCTCTCCCTCACCAACTCTGAACTTTGTAAGTTTCCCTCTAATTCCTGCCTCCCCCTCTGATTTACAAGCACGCAAGCACAATGTGAACTATTTTGCCTTTAACTTCTCGCTCTCTCTCTCCACCTCCTCACCAAGTGTCAAATATCGCACCTATAACGCTCCCGCCAATCAGACAGCCGGATTGGAGTCACGTGGTGTCACGTGAGCGCCCACGTGCACAGTCTCCCCTATAGAAACTGTAAACAGTTGATATTTGGCAAGTGAGGGGCTGTTCGAGTTGTGCTGATCAATCGTAAGCATAACGTATCACTTGACAACGCGTATAGGAGTCATCCTGCCTCCTCGTCCTCTTCTTCTGCTATAGTGTTATCGGTGTAGCAGCTCTACATGTTACACTACTTCTAGTTTACTTTTAGATTCCGCGCTCTTATTTCTCGTTATTGTTATTTTCACTGTCTGGGTTCCTCTCACTTTGCTTCCCTCGTATCTACTTTCTCTTGCCAGGTTCGTTTTTAGCTCTCAGCTCTTCAAACATTTGTTGTTTACTCGCACATATAATTATACGGCTAACTTGTTTGTTCGATCCATATCTTTTTCATATGAAAAACAGAGGCGATGATATCTTACCAGTTATCGATATTATAATATGGAAAATAGTGCTGTAAATGTGAGAATATCAGTTCTATTCCCGTTCTATTGGTTTGACTAGTTTTGAACACTTCTCATTTTCTCACTTTCCTTCTAGTTATGTGTTTGCGACGACAGAGTTTTAAGTTCTAATTTAAAATTACAATCGTATCTTTGTAAGCTTGCAAAACTCTCCGTTCAATAACCCAGCCCACACGTTTCCATGGTAACCACATAATCACGTGACGTTGTCATGGGTACAATGGCAGCAGCTCTAAACCACAGATATCCTTCATAACAATCAGATAGATAAACAGATAGTCTGAGTATTTAGATATTTAGTTAGTAAAAGTGTACTGTATTGTTACTCTTACCACAGTTTTACTAAAACATAGTAATTCTCACCAATATTTGTGAAAATACCCAAAACCATGAGACTATTTGTTAATACTCCGCCTACACGCTAGTGAATAAAATTTCACTAATCGCACTTTATAGGGTAAAGATTTTTCAGTAAAAGTTAAGAAAACATTGAGATTTAATTGAAGTTTTATCAATAGCTGAACAACGCCCCAGTTAAGTTAAGTGCAAATTTCGGTCCATTTTTACAGTAAATAAAACACATTCCGTTTTACAGTTCTCTCACGGCTACTGTAAACAGGTATTTGCAATAATTATTGCTTAAACTCACAATTAAACAGCTTATCCATCAGCTCTGTTACCCGAACAAGCCAATCAGCCCGCTCCGTGCCCTCTCTCCTCCAATAAAAACACAATAAAATACCACGTGATGTTTAGTCGAGATGGGGGCTGCTCAGGGCAGTCAGCCCGACTGTTCACTGAGACCCGGCTTCCTCTAGCTTCATGCTTGGGTAGCTCCCCCCACTCAATATTATTGCAGATAATTAATATACCTGGTGACCAATAACGCACCAATAGACCCGGGGAACACCTGTAAAGTTTAGTAAAGTGGGGTGTAGTGTGGAGCTAACAGACCAGAAATAATTAAACACGGTTTAGATAGTGTGATTAACTGTAAGGTTTCAACTAGTTGCCTGTGATCCAGTTAGCTCGTTACCATGGTTACAGTTAACAGGTCAGTTAGCCGGTGTGGAGCCCCACTCAATTAACTTTCCACCGTATCAGGAACCAGGTCTCCATGGTGATATCACCTGGTTTCCATGGTGATGGCAGGAACATAATGAACTGATATGCGTCATGGTACCAGAAACTAAGTGATATTTACTAGGACCAAATCTTAGTAACAAAGTAAAAACAATTCCTCTTTAAACGGATTGTCACATCCTCTTGTAAGAATAGCATTAAATTCAAATTAAGTGTTCTATCCGGGCCGGGGTAACTTGCCTGGGTTCCCTCTCTCCGTCAGGCATCTCTCACTCTGAGACACAGCCTAACTGACTTTTACTTTCTCCTCTTAGTAGTACTACCACTCTTGTCACTGTTTTGTGTATTATTCAGCTCATGGTATTTATAAACAGATCTTCCTCCTTCGCCGTGAGTATTATCTTCTTTCTTCCTTTTTTCTTATTTTTATCAGCGCCTTTCTTGTCAGCATTCTGCTTTGTGGTACACGTTCTTCTCCTCCCTTTCGATTCACAATATTTGTTTAATTTTCGTCAAGTTTAAACTCCCTAAAATTCTGCCAGTCTCGACTTAAAGTCTATCATATAAGTCGTATATTTAAATATTAAATTCTAGATTTAGCACTGTAAAAGATGAGCATATTCCAGTTTATTTCGATATAGCCCTGTAAATTGGCCACTAGAAACAAACCACAGCTCAGGATAGGTCGGTTAATTGGGCGGTAGATTTGACAGAATGCCATTAAATAAATCACTTTAAACTTAACCGAAACTAGCAGTGAAAAAGCCTGATTAAACGCTTGTTAAAGATCCGGATTAACATTGTTTAACGAGGGGAATTTGCATAATTAGAAAGTTTAATTTGGGGTATAACTAATTAATAAGCGGCTCCTTAGTCCGCATTAGATCGGGTCATGGTACAAGAGCACGCTTAAACCTCCTAATAAGGTCATCACGTGATGCCACGTCACATATTATGCCCTAATACGGTCATGTGGATTAGGCCGGTACGGTACAGCAGAGGACGGGCTTGAGAGGATTACTTGATGATCCAATGGCCGGCCGATACTGCTGCTTGCCATGCTCTCATACGAGCTAAGCTAATCCTGCTTTCTAACGGTCTGACTGGGGAAGCTGCCAATAAACTTCGCCTAGCATACAAGATTAAATCATTATAACGAGACTTGCCAAGGAGGGAGTGTAATACTGCCAAAAGATAAGAATTAAATAAAATACGAGAAATAAAATAGAAAATTAGGAGACCTTGAGACTGGGAGTAGGAGACTAGGAGAGGACTAAAAGGAGGAGATTGAGATAGGAGTAGGAGACTAGGAGAGGACTAAAAGGAGGAGATTGAGATAGGAGTAGGAGACTAGGAGAGGACTAAAAGGAGGAGATTGAGATAGGAGTAGGAGACTAGGAGAGGACTAAAAGGAGGAGATTGAGATAGGAGTAGGAGACTAGGAGAGGACTAAAAGGAGGAGATTGAGATAGGAGTAGGAGACTAGGAGAGGACTAAAAGGAGGAGATTGAGATAGGAGTAGGAGACTAGGAGAGGACTAAAAGGAGGAGATTGAGACTAGGAGTAGGAGACTAGGAGAGGACTAAAAGGAGGAGATTGAGACTGGGAGTAGGAGACTAGGAGAGGACTAAAAGGAGGAGATTGAGACTGGGAGTAGGAGACTAGGAGAGGACTAAAAGGAGGAGATTGAGATATGAGGAGGAGACTAGGAGAGGACTAAAAGGAGGAGATTGAGATATGAGGAGGAGACTAGGAGAGGACTAAAAGGAGGAGATTGAGATATGAGGAGGAGACTAGGAGAGGACTAAAAGGAGGAGATTGAGACTGGGAGTAGGAGACTAGGAGAGGACTAAAAGGAGGAGATTGAGACTGGGAGTAGGAGACTAGGAGAGGACTAAAAGGAGGAGATTGAGACTGGGAGTAGGAGACTAGGAGAGGACTAAAAGGAGGAGATTGAGATATGAGGAGGAGACTAGGAGAGGACTAAAAGGAGGAGATTGAGATATGAGGAGGAGACTAGGAGAGGACTAAAAGGAGGAGATTGAGATATGAGGAGGAGACTAGGAGAGGACTAAAAGGAGGAGATTGAGATAGGAGGAGGAGACTAGGAGAGGACTAAAAGGAGGAGATTGAGATATGAGGAGGAGACTAGGAGAGGACTAAAAGGAGGAGATAGAGATAGGAGGAGGAGACTAGGAGAGGACTAAAAGGAGGAGATTGAGATAGGAGGAGGAGACTAGGAGAGGACTAAAAGGAGGAGATTGAGATAGGAGGAGGAGAGAAAAGGAGAGGAGTTTTAAGAGCGAGTGTTAGTGAGCACAGTGTAAGTTCCTGATGTTGAGAGCTTGTTATTTATAAAACATTGTACGTCACACTGCACATGTTACACAAACTGCTGACCATACTGTACTCCTACTACCACCCTGACATGATAATATGCTATCAAGATAGAGTTTATTGAGGTATTAGCTAGAAGTCGTATAATTATTGGGTACCGGCAAGGAAGACAAATTGTCGGTTTTGCAACTAAGTGTTATGTTTACCCCTCCTGCTTTCTTCCTAAGTGTGGTATTCTGGCGTTATAAAATATTACGGACGTTTTTTCACAGTAATATTAAAATATATAAGAGGAGTAATATTAAAAGTGCGCAATAGTAACACTTATAATATCATATTATTCGACTATCTTATTTTATTCTTATATTATTATCTTACAATGTTATTATTTAATAATCAATATAATTAGTTATCAATATAATTAATAATCAGTGATAATTAGTAATAATTAGCAATCAGTCGGACGTTAGTGAACGTTATAATAAACCACATCATAGTATAACCTTCAGAATCCCAAGCCTTGGGCTATGCTGACAGAGAGAGGTAAAGACACCTACAGACTACTCAAACTTTGGCTAGATCAACAAAGTGAGTCAACATAATATGTAGAGGGATATTTTAGTGACTTGTTATGTTTTTAAGTATTCGAAACATTTGACTTTTTGTAATTTTTAACTGACAGTTATTGATAAAATTGTATAAAACATTCTTTAAAAATACTTCGGCTAGATCAACATCATGTTCTGTTTTATAACCTTTGTTTTTGTTGCAGTGTTGAGTGAAGGAGAAGAAGGTAAAACCGCATCTTACGACGAACGTTTACAAAAACTAGCTTCCGTAACCGGACTACCCATTGACCAGGTCAGAAACCAACTTGTCGCCCTTCTAGCTAACTACTTTCACTTTTAGCTAACTACTCTCACTCACGTACTTACTTAACCACCAATCACAGTCTCACTCACAACTATCTCCAGTCTCTCAGACTCACTCAGATCTATTCCTCGTCACATGACCCGGTCCTGATCACATGACTCAGTCACCAGTCACCCGACTTGCTTTGTAGTGTCTACTAGCGGGAGAGAGACGTCAGATTATTTCTGCGACACTCTTCTTCCCTCTCTCTCACATTGTCAGCACCGTCTGTCACTCACCTGACATGCCCTTATTTGGACATCATGTGACCTGACGTCACACCAATTGTTTTTGCGTCAAACTATTCGCTCTAATTACTTCAATAGGCAACTAGTTTCACAAAACGAGTAAACTTGTCTCTACCAACTAGAAGTAGACGTCTCTTTAAATTTAGTAACTCAGCCAAACAATGTTATATTCTCTTGAAACAGTTGACTAACTCAGTCATTTCAAAAGTAGCCAAATAATCCATTGTCCTAAAACGTTTTACTAACTGCAGTATTCTCCTGAAACTAACATTCCCTTACATTCCCTCGGCTCTCCCTTCGAAACCAATGAATAATATTAGATCTTTAAGTTAGATCTGTCATTACATTATAGTCCCATCATATCACTGTTGTTGGTCGGGCCATGTACCGGATATATTATGTGATACCCTCAAAAGTGTCCTGAGAAAATGGGGGTGATCCTCTACTGTATGGCCCCCCCCGGCCTCCTTAACTCCACAACTTCCTAACACTTGTCCCATCCTCAGGTACAGAAGTGGTTATCGTTCCATTCTCAAGACGTTACATCACCCCACAACGGTAACGCTAGTCTCTGCGACAGCTTCAACATGAAGCCTGATATTGAGAACCATACCTCACCTCTTTTTAGAGACTCTCCAAAGAACGACATGTTGCTGGATCTTACTCGCATTCGCCTCAAAGGTTTGTTGAACTCTTTCTAATCATTTTTTGGGATATATTTCTTTTTAGTGTGATAACTTGTTTGACACAAAATTTAATCCATTTTATTTGCTTATCGGCAAACGATGACCGAGTCTTCTGAAATAAAACCGGCTATTAATATAACCGTTAAGTCGTTATCAGTGATATGATAGCGTTATCGAAATTAAAACTAAAATAACGGCCATGTACAATTATTTTATATGAATTGCTACATATTATAGAAATTTAATTCAGTTACCAAATCTGAGAAAACATGCAAATTACACATTATAAACTGGTAGTACAAGATCTATGTCAATTGATTGGATATATATACATATATACAATTCTTTTTTGTGGTTTGGAGACAATATTTCAGAAGTTAAACCTTATATAAAAGGTTCAACTTCTGGAATATTGTCTCCAAACCACAATCTCACTATAATAAACTGTTATCCCACATCTCATCTTGTCTCATCTTGTGTCTGGGTGTCTAGAGGGTGTCTCTGTAAAGTTAGCACCCAGTACCTGGTACTGTATCTGAATCTAATAAGTTCAAGTAGGTTGGAATTAGTTCAAGTATTCCACCTCAGTACTCCCAGTAACTACACCCCTGCCCCATTTCACCTGCCCCTCCAGTATTTCATTAGTGAAGCTCCCACCATAAAATTAACCTCTGATACTATTGACCGATTAGATTGACGAGGATTTAACATTACATTAGGGTGCAGCATTCAGTCCTTCTTTATTCGTTTATGTTTCACCCCAATCCTAACCTTCAAAACGCATTATAGACCATACTGTCCACCCCACAGACCTGCCCACGTGTTCTTATCTCAACCACTCAGAGCTGCGCACACGCGTCACATGACTCGTTAACATGCCCACGTGACATGAAGTCGGTAGAGTTGGGGCACCTCCCCGACTACCCTCACAACGTCACACTCCATTGACTCTCACTTCGCTCCATTGCGAGGTTGAAATGATTGTAATTCTGGGTAACTAGATTTTCCAGTAGTTGGTTGGGCACGTTAAAACAGCTGGGCAGTGAGGTGTCCCCGGCCTAATCAGATCTGCCAATTGTAGGTCCCATTAGTAGACCAGGAGGGGGCCTGTGATTGGTCAGCAGTGCAAATACACGTGGTATTAGGGTCACGTGACATGTATCTGAGAGTGGAATATTACTAGGATTCTGTGCTTGAGAGATAGTTAAAGCGGTGTAAACAATAGAGTAGTAGTCGCACTGTCTGCCTAATCTAACACTTAATCTAACACTTGACGACTTGTGAATATTACAAGACTGCTACAGGTGGAGGCAAAAGGTGTTGTAATGGTAAAATCTAGTGGTAATGGTAAAATCTAGTGGTATCACAAATAATCCACTTGCAGCAGTGGAGCATGTCATGTGACAATCAGTGGAGAGTGCTGAACCACATGTTTTAGTTGATAGGACTCGTTACCATAGTGATATTATCTTGTTGCTACGGGAATGTAGTGAGATGAGCACTCCTCTCTCTGACAGCAAAATGCCTCGCTTTTCTACCCAAGTTCATCTTCTTGCACCTTACTCGATACAGAAAACGGTTGACGGCCTCAGGGCATAATAGATAGCTCAAAGACTTCCCCCTCTGTATTTCAAGGCTCACAAAGACTTCCTCCTCCTTTGTATCTGTATTTACAAGGCTCACTAATTCTCTAAGATTAACATCCCCCTACCCGTGGGAACTACTACATAAACCCTCCAGAGGAGAATATATCTGTTAATTGAACGGGTCCGGAAACCTTTACCAGTGTCAATACCCGAACACAGTGATAACAATAGATTAGAGGACCACAAAGCCGGCTACTAGAACACCTCTAGTATTTGAATAAAACCCTCCTGAATCAAACAATACGAGTACCCGGATACGGCTTTGTATTGTTTACTGGAAATGAAGCCCTCCCATTGGTTCTTATCTGCCGTTCTGGGCTCTGATTGGTTTAGCAGAGCTGGGCAGTGTGTTTAGACTTTAGTTAGAAGAGTTTTTAAAGAGTGCAAGACATGAAAACAATGATATTAATAATAGTGAAAGTTTAAATGCCAGTAACGATGACCTTTCTTTTTGTATGTTTCATCACAAAAGAAATAGCGGATGAAATTTAGGTTTCAACTTTTTTTGTAAGTTTTTATTCAATGTAACTGTTCTCAGTTTTCATTAATTCATCTCAGGTAATTATAAAAAAAAGAGTTAAATGTAAACTTAACTGTAATTTACTAACTAATTACTAACCACCGTTTGCATTTCAGAAGAAGATATATTGGACCTGTTCAAAAGAGCTCCCGACTGCGAAGGTTCTTACAACTTTACACAATTTACATCAATTCACATTATATATAAAACAATCTAGCCTCCTCCAAATCTGAAACAATTTCCCCCAAATCATCCCTGTAAAAACAGTCCGGTGTCTGGACCTAACTCTAACTTTACTCCTGGTAAAAATGTATTTCTCCCCCTCATAAATCCAGCATATTAATCTGGGACGGGAAGGGAGGTTGGGAGGTTGATTTGATATTATTAGAACAGACTATAACGTAAGATAGTGTAATCGGACCATACCTCCCTCCTCTTATCATCTGATAATCAGAACCAGCCGATCACTTAAACTAATTGCACTAAATGTTACTACGGCTGGTAATATGAAGGAGCACTCATGATTTGTGGGTACGCTTGGTGAGGGTAGATGGTGGGGTTGGTGGTGGTTACAACTATGGTATATCGCAGATGGTTGATTTGTAACAGAGAGGTTGTTACTTTTCAGGGCCCCTAATCCTACCTCCCTCAATATGTCAATAGTGTGCTTTATAGTCTGGGGTAATTCAGGGTTGTGAGCAGTAGCGATATCAAAACTCTTGTCCTTCTAATCAGAAGATAATCCGTCGGTAATTACGTGATTACCCAATAATTAGCTAATTACTTTGTGGAACTATACGGGGGTTTTACGGTAGACAGAACTGAGGTCCACAGAATGAGCCGCCTCATCTCAAATAATGGTTTGAGCAGTTAAAACCCTGTCCCTTTTTACTCCTTCATCAAACGGTCTGCTACCTATCACTCCTGTTACTGTTAATTCACAGGCGATATCAGGATTATCAATGATATTCAATAGTAATAAGACTTTTTATCGTATAACGATATCGGAGGATGAGCTAAGAGGGATTAATTCCTGGTAAACAGTAGCAAGTTTTCCCGCAGTAGACAAATTAAAACCTAGTTTGGACCATGGTGTTAACCAATAAGCTCGCTCTTATCGCTTTACAAGTCACGTGCCGCCCACGTGCAATGTCACGACGTGGCCCCAGACTAATTCCCACGCTGGCCTCAACTCTAATCAATAATTTATTACTAATATTGGGGGAATTTACCTGTGGTGTGGGACATGTTTTGATAAAACTTGCATGTGAATATTTCCTGAAAAATACGCAGAGTTCCGCCTCATTGGCGTGGAAGCTAAGCAACCGTTAAAAACTTTATTAAAGCGAATGAAGTGTGCTTATTTTAAATTTATGTGTTATTAAACTGTATCCATGTTAAAGGAAAATCATGCTCATATTCTTAGATTGATATTTTTTAAGTGAGCGAAATCTCTGAAAATAATTAATTGAATAAACTCTTCCAGTTAAATCTGAGCGTTTTTCATTTAATTATTTAAATAGAGCATTAATTATTAAACCAGGTTTTACTGTCCACGTCGACAAGCGACATTAGTGAAGTTACCTGACTGGAATCTAAATTAAGAATCTTAAAGTTGAGCTTTTTAATGGCCAAATGGACTTCCTCATTCCTCAAGGTTAAATTTCTGCTGCATAGTTTGCAGATGGTACTTCCAAATATTAATAACCTGGTTTCTTTACAGCAACAGAGATCTGCACCCAGTACGCTGAACGAGTTAACTTGTGGATAGCACGTGGGCAACTTCCTCTCGACAGAGGAGATCAGCGGGGAAGTGAGGAGGGAGATCGAGAAACATTCCATCTCACAGGGAATGTTCAGTCAGAAAATATTGAGGAGAAAACAGGCTACTTTGTCAGGTTCGTCTAAAGTTTTGAAACACCCTGTAGTTGTATGTGGTTTGTGGTTATACCATCACCAGGTTTAACTGTTCATCCACTTAGTTTTAGCTTGACGTTATATTTAAGGATTAAAGTTGTAAAAGTGAATATTGATTGCGGCTAATCAGGGATAAACTGTTCGGAAATTTCACTTGGGAAATATTTTGTTCCTAGCATATCTTCACCGTGTTTGGACAACAGTAGATATTTGATTGTCTTGCATCGCTGACCATACCAACCAGATAGATTGTATCAAGGTGGTTCTGATTTAGTTTCTGTTAATCCGTTAGGGTGGGGTCTGGAAGCTGTTAGGGACACTAACTTTCTGTGTTAGTTCCACTTGAGCGCCCCTCAAAAACAAACTGCACTTGCAATTCACTTCACACCACGTGCAGTACACTTCACACCACGTGCAGTACACTTACCACCTGCAGTACACTTCACACCACGTGCAGTACACTTCACACCACGTGCAGTACACTTACCACCTGCAGTACACTTCACACCACGTGCAGTACACTTCACACCACGTGCAGTGCACTTCACACCACGTGCAGTACACTTCACACCACGTGTTCTATTCCCCCTACTTAACGTCATGGTTGGCTTGGCCCCAGGGGAGATCTCAGATGGCCTGTCATTGGATTAGGAAACCCTAGATCTCATCCTGATACAATGTATCACCCTCGTCTAATTAAGAGAGTGCTGGTGCTGATAGTATCTATATCTCATTACTGTTACAAGTGGGACACGGTGCACGGAGTTAGTCATCCTAAAAACTATTAGACTAGGTGTGACTGTAACTCTGTATCGGGTTTCTAGCAGAGGGTGAGAGATATCTAACAGGAACTGTGGCCTGTGATCCCGTCCCGATATATTAATTGAGTTTCAGTTTTCTTATTGGTAAGTTAGTGGTTCCATTACCGACCCCTGAAATAGTTATTTTCTCATCTCATTTACTGGTTTCTAATCGGTAAAAGACAGGGGGAGGGGGATTACATGGCTGTAAGTGTGGGATGGTTATTATCGGCGGTACCTCATAGTATTGGGAAAGGAACTGAGAGATTTAGGGTAGAGATCATCTGCTGAGAGCTGTTTTCAGTTCTCAGGACCTTAAAGGTCAATATGATAGTTATTCATTATTACTATTAGTGGGATAGTTTAGTTGTCGATGCCATGGCATTTATAAAAGTGGTAAAATGATTATCAACGACTTTGACAGAAAATGGAAATACGTGAATATGGTTTAAAGTCAGAAGGTACCAAATTGTACGCTGCTAAAATCTGATGTACCCATTCTGACAGCTGAAGTTGAGTGGAATAGTCAATATTTGGCTCCACCCAACTTCCGCAATCCTCAAATATTCCTAATATTGTCCGGTGATAACGGTAGCAGCTCCTCAAGTCTGAACTCGATTTAAAGTTCATTTAAAGTTGTCACAACAACAAAAACCCTAATCATATTTCCCTGGCCAGACTGAATATTTCTTATCGGCCGGCCGCTCCGAAATTCACTTATAGAAAATCAATTTATTTCCAATGGCCGGAAAGCCCGGTTAACTCCTTCAGAAATATATTCATCTATCGATTATCTTTTTATCAGTTTTCAAACCGTCGAGACTCTCCAGTAACCTGATGTACTTATTACATTAGTACACCATAATTTGTAATCGTCTGTTGAGAGCCGTGTAAATTTACCCGTATTTCATCACACCTTTCTGAGAACTTCTCAGTATTTACCATGAAATAAACTTCACAAGTACTAAAGGTTCAGCTGGCTCTACTTTGTACAGGAACAAGCTTTATTTCGTAGTTTCAGTGTTTACATTTGAAATTACCCTCGCTGGAGAGAAAGAATGAGGCAGCACGAGCAGCGATGATTAGTGCAATTACTCGCTAGCAAGTAAACTGTGATGTTTACTAACTATTTTATTGGTTCCTAAGTGTTATTAAGTGTTAGTCAGTAACAACACGATAATGATTCCTACTTCATACCCCCTTACAACAACATCCTCACATTCAATACCAGAAATACTGCAGAACTACTTTTATTCTTTTAATGATAACCCTCGGCTCTCAAAGATAATAATATCTGAGCCACCCCAAAGTCTCTGTTGGCGACGACTACAACCATCAACTTAAGTTTTATTGATAATCTACTGATTTTATAAAGAAAAATATTCTCGCAGAGTTATCTGAGCCGGCTCAGTTGGCGACCCATTATAACTAGTAACTATTAACCTGGCGCTCTGCCAATCAGAAGACTCTATTCTACTCGCTGATCTCTGCAAACAGTCTAGCATTTGTTAACTGGGTATAACATTGTGTACTATATAATTTAGCATTAAATAAGTCGATCAGGTTGGGATTATTAGCGCATAATAATCGGATTATCAAGTAGAATTAGTAATGTAACATATTATTCTGATATTCTGAAACAAACCGTTCAGTCACATGACTCAACTTGTAGTCTTGATCGGACCTGATAATTAACACGTGTTTTCATCGGACCTGATAATTCGTGTGTTACACGATTACCGGCATCATTTGGGACTTCCTGTTCTTCATATACGAAACTGATGCATAACTAGGTCACGTGACTAATGATTGGTCACGTGCCGATTGCTCATTCCCAACTGGCCGATTGCTTAGAATACTGTGCTCTGATTGAACGATCGGTAAAAATACTGTCCTGTTATTGGCTGATCGGGTAGAATACAGCGCTCTGATTGGCTGATCGGGTAGAATACAGCGCTCTGATTGGCTGATCGGGTAGAATACAGCGCTCTGATTGGCTCCACCCCACCAATAATGAGATTACAGGTCTATGTCTGAGCAGTGAATGTCTTGTGATGCAGACGTCACGGAATGAGGTTAGTTTGCGAATTTGAGCACCGAGACTGACTTGAGATAACACCTCCCCTTCTTCATTGTTTCTTAACTTATCAAACATTTTATTAAGAATTTAAACGAGTTTCGAGGATATATTTGAGTCAGAAATAAGACAATAATTGTTGCATTCTCCATCCTGATAATATGGTATGACTGTTAAGCAGTATGGTGTCTGTGATAAGACAGGTTATTTAGAGTTTTATAGTCTTCTAATATTTATTAATGCAATAACATGCACAGCTAAGTAATCGATCAACATTTATCATGGGAACCTTGTGGTCAACATTTAACACACAAAATATTAAGCTCCTTCATAAATCATATTGGACTCATTATTTACTCAATAATATCACAGCAACAGTACTTCTTACTAAGTTACTATAATGTTTAATAATAATAGTGGAATATCGAAGGAAACGTGTTTAAATTGACGTCCTGTAAGTGGATGATACTAATATGTTAATATCGCGTAATCTGTGAGAAGACATCAGAATCAGGATATTTGAAAACATTACCTCATTAAATTATTTGTTTTCGTGGGATTCTCGTTAAAGTTGTAAAGTTGAACACGTGATGCAAAGTGCAGTTACATAATAAGATTGGAACATGTGAACAGAAAGAGAGCGTGCTGGAATGGAACCAAGTTTATCTCATGTGTTATTATAGCAGAATAATAACTGTGAGGCCGGTGTGGTTAAGATTACGATAGTCAATGGCATTTAGGGGTCACATGTTAAAAACATCTCTTAAGGGGGCCGGGGGGGGGGGGTCTTCATCAAAATTCTCTCGAAATCGACTTAATAGTTGTTTCTGATAGAGGGGAGTGATATCTATCAGATGCTTTTGGTCCCATGGAAAAATATTGTTCCTAGCCGAAATTATCGCCTGTCTAAGGTCAGCGCTTATGTGTAATTGTATTGCGCGAGCGATTTTCAATCGCAAATTCTGAAAATCGAGTATAAAAATCTATCTTCTCTCACATTTTTTGAGCAATCACCCTGAAACTTTCAGGATATGTTCTAGGGACCATTTAGAAGAGAATGATCATACAAAATTTTGAGATAGGCCTTTAAAAATTTTTTATTCAATTTTGAAAATCTTGGACCTCAAAAAATCGTAAAAAAACGAGGTCCAAGATTTTCAAAATTGAATAAAAAATTTTTAAAGGCCTATCTCAAAATTTTGTATGATCATTCTCTTCTAAATGGTCCCTAGAACATATCCTGAAAGTTTCGGGGTGATTGCTCAAAAAATGTGGGAGAAGATAGATTTTTAGACTCGATTTTCAGAATTTGCGATTGAAAATCGCTCGCGCAATACAATTACACATAAGCACTGACCTTAGACCAGCGATAATTTCGGCTAGGAACAGTATTTTTCCATGGGATCAAAAGCATCTGATAGATATCACTCCCCTCTATCAGAAACAACTATAAAGTCGATTTCGAGATAATTTTGATGAAGACCCCCCCGGCCCCCTTAACTGTGCCAAATTTCTCCACAAAAAGGGGCCTCTTCTGAGGTGGAAGGTTTGTTGAGTCTTCTACTTTCTTACCCTGAAAAGGACACAAGGATTCACTAGAATTTATAATTTGTTTTTGTTACCCTGACATCACTTTTAGTGACATAGCCAGAATGCAGCTATCAATGACGAGTTTCTAACAAAATGAACCGCTTGAGCTCTCTAACCAAGTTACCATGGCAATCAATCCTTGAAGACCGCCCCAACCACCCTTCAGTTAGGTACCATTTTATAACCTGTATTTGAAAGGAGGACCAAGTAGTGAGTAGTGAGTAGTGAGTAGTGAGTAGTGAGTAGTGAGTAGCGAGTAGACTCATTTTACGGTTGTACGGTTATCTGTTCAGAACTAAAACGATCTACGCCGCCCCGTTTATTTCATTAACCCCCACATTGATCAACTCATGTCTGGTCAATCAATGAACTTAGCCAGCTAACCTCTGCTGTCTGAACCTATTCTAGTTCTAGAGGGAGAGTGACAGCTGGTTCTACATCTCTCTGTTTTTATTGGCGGGTTATAACCCCTGTTATTCCACATGAGATGGTCTCTGCGATAGTTGCCATGGTT